TAAACATTTATTGAGCATTTTCCACCGTTGTGCAGAGGGCTTTCGTAGACATAATTTAATCTCTGCCAGAAAAGTAACATTCTCTATTGTAAGAAGAGAATACTGAGATCAAAGAAGTTGCTGCTAGCTTAAGGATACATGACTAGTAAATAGTAGAATCAAGGTTCAGATTCAGGTTTTTCAACTACATGTCCAGGTGCTTCTTCTACTGTATTACATCTGTTATTTGCACTATGAATTATTCTTATTAAAAATTATCTTAAGATATTTTTTGTAATTCTTACCTTGAAAATTATTACTACAGATATAAGCCTTCCAAAGTCAGCAGCTATCTGTTACACGGCAGCACTGTTGAAGACAAGGACTGTTTCAGATAAGTAAGTGTTGTAAAAACCACAATAATTTGGAAAGCCTGCTAAACTCAATATTATGTTTTTCCACCACTGACATTAAACCATGTTCTTTTTCCTCCCTACTTCTTTCTGAATAACCCTTGATCTTCTAGGTGTTTGAGGCTTCTAACTGTGTGTAGTGGAAACCAGCAAGGTTTTTAGAGATAAGTAAATCTGGGCTCCAATTCAAACTCTATAACATCCCAGTTATAGGACTTTGGGCAAGTTAATCATTTTGAGTCTCTTCTTCATCTCTAAAATGAGAATAATAATACCATAGGGTGGTTGCATGAGGATTTATGTGTGTTAAATACCTAAAGCAATATCTAGAAAGAAAGAATCACAGTAAATAGTAACTATGATGATAATGATAAGGTGTATGGTAGGGAAATGGGTTTATGTTATGTGTTCTTAGATGATAATTCTAAGTTATTTTGCTTTCCTTGTATTTTTGGCTGCCTTTAATGGATTCTCTTTATTCTGCAGATAAAATATTCACAAACCAACCAAATGGTGACCATTTTCTTTTACCCTAGATTACTATACCTTGATAGGAATTAGAATGGAATATTTAGTCTGTTTCTTCTCAGATGAGAATTTGATAAGACTGTACTTCTATTTCATTAAATTCTCTGCATATCCCTGTATAGTATTTATTACTTTATTACCTTTCCCAAAGTGTGCCTTCAATGGACTTTTGAAGGCTTTCTTTACCTAAGTTTGAAGATTTTCATTCCTTATGCTGCCTTTTCTTACATGTTGAACCAGAAGCCTTTGCTTTCATTTTTAGTAGTCATCTGGCTTTGCCTTTGGCCATTGCCAGAAACTTCTTTGATTCAGGGGACTATATTATGATCTAAATCCATAAATTCTTTCCTTTTTTGGTATATTCATTTCCTTATTTTGTGATTTTCTTACAGATTCTCTCCAGAAACAGCCTCTAGAAGAGGGCTAAGCACAGCAGAAATTAATGCTGTGGAAGCAATTCATAGAGCTGTGGAATTTAATCCTCATGTTCCAAAAGTGAGAAATTTTATGGTGAAAATACTACTTTTATTTAAATTGATCAAATTGATGACAGTGTATAGAGCATAGTTTGGGTTGCCATAATTTGGTTCAGAATTGTTTTAGTCTGCTATACTTTGATGCTTATTATTATGCTTAAAGGCATTTAGACAGGTGGGTAGCAGCAGTGGTTAACTACATGCTTTGTAATTGCTATCAAATATAATTTGAACTGTGTTCACTTAGCTGTCCTTTTACTATAGTTATAGAGAAGAAATAATCAAATGGCTTGGTCTTAATAAAAGATCATTCATATTTCAGATCACTAAATCAAATTTCCTGTTACTGTAAAAGCTTTTTCTAGACAAATGCCTGAATTTTGAACTAGGGCTGGGTAGACAAAAACTGAAGACAAATAGATTAAAGTAATCAATAATAAGAAACAGATGTAGAAGTTCCCAGAAAAACTGGTGCTGAGTTGATCTTTATTTAGTCCCAGATGAATCTATATACTTGCTTCTTTTGTCTTTGTATCGTGCATTTTGCAGTCACACAAATTATTGTTTAATCTTTGTGTGTTATCACACAAGATTAAATTTTGGGTTTTACAAATAATGTCCCATGTTAGGAAG